ACGGGCATATTATAGGCTACTTTTTTTAATTCCGCGCTGTCAAAATGGCGTAACGGGTGGTCCAAATTTGCACTAACGAAGTTTGCGGACGACAGCTCGTTTATTTATAAAATTCTTTTAAATGGCGCAATTCTTTGTATGCCAGCTTCAACATGTGGAATATAAAACTTTTGCCCTCGGCTCTGTCCGCGCGGAATTAAAAAACTTAATTTGAAACATATGCGTTCTTTCAGATTGTATTCTAAGTTTATGTCAAATTTCAGTGAGATCACTAGCTGTTCTAGAGATCGTTCCGACAAACATCGAAACATTCGCTTCTACGACATTAGTAAGAAATAAGACGTCAACAACTACATAACTTCTTGTAAAGCGAATTCAAAAATGAACATTGGTCTTATTATTTGTCCGTCCTTCAAGTTGATATTTTGATTCACAGCCCCGACGGGCAAATCCCGACGAATCTAACATTTGACAGGCGTAATATTTCACAGTTATTTCTTTCCGAAATAATACAACTTTACTTGTTTTTGAGCATTGTTTTCTTTCCTGATTTGTTACTTTCACTTTAAGAATTAAACTTTGTATAGTAAAAATATATTTAAAGTGCAGACTTAACAAGAGACAATTCGCTAACATTTTTTGGCTTAATGATTATTAAATGCATTTTTGTACATTTGTTAATTACATAATTTGAAATTAACATATGAAGGTATAGTCGGGAAATAATTGTCTGGAACCACACATTTTAACTTTAACATAACTTTGATACTACAACTTAGTAAGTACATCAAAGTTGTTACTAAGAGTTATAACTTGACTTAGTGCTAAGCAAATTGGGAGAAACTCGTATCGTGTTGGAAGCGTGTTTGAATTGGACTCAATTAGCTAAAACCTCATTATAATGTGCATTTGTGAATATATACGCAAATGTGTATGAGAGTTGAATGGCCTCTATCAATAATTTTAATTATGTTTTTTATTTCTTTGCATTCAATGTATTATTGCTCTATACGTAATTACTAGCTATTGCTCGTAACTTCGCCAGCGTGAAATTAAAAAAAGTATAGACTATGTTACTCTATGATAACGTAGCTTTTTAATGGTAAAAGAATTTTTGAAAGCAGCCTAGTACTTTTTGAGTTATTTCAATACATACATAAATCAATTTATTTATTAAACAATTATCTATTGTCATATTGTCCTTATCCAAATAAATGCATATGTTATCAGGAGAATTTAATGTAGAATAAAATTGTTCTTTTCAATATTAAAATTGGACTAATAGTTTAGGAGATATCGCGAACTCAAACGATAAGGGTCATTGAAAAATCAGCTCGAAAACCACCGGGCTTAGAAATTTGGAATCTGGCATCAGTAGATTTCTGTTATTACGTAGATTACTACGAAGTTTTGAACTTTAAAATTCCACACGGACGAAGTCGTGGGCAACAGCTGGTAAGTTATATATTTGAATTCTCTATTATATTTAGTTGTCTGTACCCTTTTAAAGTCTTTGTTGTTACAAAATGAATGTTCAGTTAAACATTTTATGCCACCTCAGTAATTTGCGTTTTGATTAATGGTTGAAATGATAAAGTGTCGCACGTCTAGCGGCAGATGTGGACTTGTTTGCTCTCATTTTAATAGCTGTTTCCCTTAATATTTCCAAATTATTAATAGTAATATGAAAAGAAAAAATACTGTGATGATAATCATGAAGCAAACTGCACAAAGAAATCCAAATTTGTATGAAGTCAATCAACCCGCACTAGGGCGACGTGGTTGGCTCTTTAACATCTTAAAAAATGTTAAAGAAGAGGAGCTTTTTTGTCATAGATTTTTACAATAAAGTACAAGTACTTTTTTTCTTGTTATACATAAACCTTAATCAAAAAGTTTGTCTTTTAAGGGCGATGTATTTGTATAAATATTTCTACTACTTTCAGACGACTGAACATTAGTGACAGAGATCACTGATCTTCTCAACTTAGTATTCAGTGTGATGTTCAAAAAAATACCTAAGTGGAAGTTTCTGTAGCAACTTCGGTTCTACTTAAAAATACGAAGGCCGACGAAAGTTCTGCTGCCGGGTTGAATATCAATTTGTATTGTTAATAAGTAAAAAAATATTTGAAACTTTAACTAGACTCACTTTCGTTTTTTAAAACTGAAAATTAAACTTTGTACTCTCAAATTTTCAACTCTCAATATTGAAATTAGCCGCTTTAGTATTTATGAAAACTTGAAAATTTATTACATTGATTTGATTTCAATTTTGAATAGTCTTAAAAGAAAAAAAAAACAAAGGTTTAGTATAGTAGACTTAACAGAGATATTTCACAGTTTCCTTTTTATAGTTGAGGTGACACCCGAGCAAGTGGTCTCAGGAATTCGTGCAAATAGTGAAGCGACTGCGACCCATAGGCATTTTTAGATTTAAAAAACGATTAAAAGCACTTAGGTATGTGTCTTAATAATTTTCAAGTGCCCTTGATTCCCTGAGACATTTCCACTCTTTTGTTACACGTAAATAAAAGCGTAGGAAGTCGGCTGTAATATAAACGATTTTCTTTGTGGAAGCTTTTCAAGAATTTGTTGCGTCAATACGTCGCAGATGAAAGCTCCGACGTTTCTTTTGTTCGACTATACTGTGAGGCTTTGATTTTATTTAACGTTCCTTACCTACATGTGCTGGAATTCTATTGTATCCTTTTTTCGAAATATTAATGTTATACGCAATAAAAAGTTAACTTTATTGTATTTTAACATAATTTATTGTGGTATAGTAATCTGATTTAGGAGTTTCTTTTTATAACTTTTTTATTTTAAAACATTATATATAAATAACTATAGTAATGTTCTCTTCTATATCAGTACAGATAAAAGTTACCTGTATCCCCTGTCGGTAATCTTTCTTGAAAATATAAAAGCATTACATTAATATCATAACGAAAATGTTAATATAAAGAAATTCCTCATTTCACAACGAAAATATTTCCGGAAGCATCCCGGTGCTGCTATGTTAAGCAAACTTATTCTTTATAAAAATAAAACCAACATCTCGAATGGGTCGGAAAATTTGGTGAATGTTATGAATTTTCTTATAGCTTTACGGACGAGAAACCAAAAAAATTTATGAAATTTTTGTTTTAATAAACGAGCAGCATTAGCTCTTATACGTAAATGCTGACTTTGAACGAAAAATAGCACATTATCCGTACATTTTTGCATTTGATTATATCAAGGAAAAACACTAAGACCTCATAGATCAAAATAAGTACATCATAATGGCGATACTTCGACTTTAATTCTATTATTTACGATATATCATCAACTGCTTGTTCTTCTATAGCATAGAGTATGGTTCATATCGGTTTATGGTAACTAATTTTCATCATCACTCCCCTCTTAATTATTTTAACGATGATCACATTACAGTAATTCCAAGTATAGATAATTGTTCATTTCGTATTTAATTAAATACGTTTCGATATTAATTTACTCATCTCCGCTATCTTCGCTATACACGGCGTTATCCTATTCTCTTTGTGCAAATGATATTAATCCTCTAATTATATTCGATGCAATGACACGCTTGAGCTATGAACTCATTACGACATGATTAAAGATAGCACCGCACTCAGAAACATTATCACCGAGGAAGCGTCTTAGTAGAGTAATTATACCCGTGATTTTGTCTACACAGGTTTAATAAAAATCTATATTAAATGTAGCATACGTTACTCAATAATAATGTAGCTTTTTAGTGACAATATAAAGTTTTAAATACGTCCAGCTTTTGAGTTTACTTATTATGTTATGTTATGTTGTATTGATTTAAAGTGAAATAGGTACATTAATTAAATGTTTAATTTACCATTAATTTGGTAAAAATAATAGTGAATTCAACATATAAATTGTTTTCCTTTGAGTTTTGTATTCAATATTTGTTTTCAAACAGAAACATCACAGCCCGAGGCGAGCTGTCCTTCGTTCTTTTCAATTTTATCGGACATCGGTAAATAAACGGCGAAGTTTAAAGTGCATGCATGTTCAAAACGTATGTTTTTTTTTATAAAATACACATTGATAGTGAGGTAAAAGTATTGACAGTGGAATATCAATGCGAATTTATATCATTTCAATTATAACACAAATGTCTACGGTGCTTGTCTATACTAATATCATAAAGAGGAAAGATTTGTATTTTTACATTTTTGTACGTATTGAAATAACTCAAAAACTACTGGGCCGGTTTTAAAAATATGATCACCGTTAGAAAGGTAATTGATCTGTGAATAATATAGGCTTATTTTTAAATAATTTTAATTTCACGCGGGTGAAGTATAAGAGAAGAAGATACTGGCAAATGAATATTTTTAGGGCACAAGAAATGAACAATATTGCGTTTGTGTTATAATGATGTGCACTAGTGCAATAGTGCAAAATTAAAGTTGCACTTTAATGTTTTATACAACTGCAATATTAAAGGAAGTATTGTAAAAATATCACAGCATATTATTAAAATTGCATAAACATATATCTTGTGAGCTGTTGCACGTAACTCGGCTACTTCAAAGCATCCTGCTTGTCTTCATAATTTAGTTTCCAGTTTGTTGTAAATTAATTACTAACACTTTTGTACAAACGATATCTACTTCTATATTAAATATTAACTAATATAATAAAGCGTAAACACACACTACTTCGAGGCGTAGGATGTCAACAATTACAGCATATTTTTGAATAATAATTTATTAAAAAATGCCTTACACTTACGACACACTTTAGGCTAAATATATAGCCATACTATTACACTTAGGGGGTAAATAAATTGTAAAAAAAAACCTTCATATGGGAAAGAGACCAAAAACTATATTACAAGTTGCAACATTAAGGAAGCAAGGTTATTATGGTAAAGGTAATTTTAACATTTGCAATTGAGAATTTAAGAAATGTAAACAATACAATAAAGTTTTTTTACAATTTCATGCCGATAAAGCCGCACGGGAATAGCTAGTGTTTATATAAAAACAAACAAGAGGTAGAGTTTTCGTTTAAGTTCCGACAGTTCTAACTGAACAGTCTAACTGATTAGTAAACGTTAATTTTACGCTAGTCAACACCAATGTTGTGTAACAAATTCAATTTGTATTTTAATTTACAACATGAAAATTTAATTCACGACATCCAAAGCTTACCGCTAACAGGAGGTTCTGTTTGTTTTCAAACTATATTCGAACTTTTCACTGTAAAAAGTGGAGGCAAACAAATAGTTCAATGGATGTGGAAAATAAATGTTTCTATAAAAATACTTCATTCTAAACGCATTACACTTTTTGTATAGAGTTTGTCATAGAGCAAATAGGAGTGACTACTAATTTTGTTATTCTTTGACATAAAATAAAACACTTGTAGGTTTATTATAAAATTAACTAGATCCCTGTTGATATTAGATAGCGTCCTCTTCAGACTGGTGCTCAAAGCTGCCGTAGAATTAACTCAGAACCATTTGAATAGCGCCCTCACTGGATCTATCTGGCTGAATGCATCTACGAAATCTGTTTTATAAAAGTATAGACGCTGTAATAAAATAGCAAATAAATTGAAAGAGCAATTTATGTAATTTAGTAATACAGAACTATTAAACTCTTTAACTGTCTTTAAATTTATGTTTTGATTAGCTTTCGCCCGCGACTTCGTCCGCGTGGAATTAAAAAAAAGTAACTATCTGCCTATGTGTTCTTCCAGACTATATATCTACTTACTGCGTGGGCGCAGCGACCCGAAGTGGGTTATGGCCTTTGACACGAGAAAGCGCCAATATATAGCGCTAGTTTATACAATACATCATAAAAAATGATCCGTTCTACCGTATAGGCTAAAAACTCTAACAAACATCCATCCATCTATCTAAACTTTCGCATTACTAAAATATTTTACTTTTAAACTGCCTTTAAATTTTTTTGAATTTATATTAAGCAGTTTAACATATTTGCAATTTGTTTCTATAAAATCTAGTTATTTTGTGGTTTTAGAAACCGCCTTTGAAGTTTGTTATTTACAATGTCCAATAAAGGCATAAAAGCTAACATGCCGCAGACACGGGCTCTGTGTTCCGAAACAAATTTAACTTGTTTACAGCTGAAACATTTGCTGCAAGCCGAGGATTAGGAAAACATTTACGTCACTGGACAATATTCTAACAGAGAAAACCACCTTTCATTTACAATCTGTTCTATACATATAATAAAATTAGAGTGTCTGTCTGTAATAATAAAAGAAAAATTCCAGATTTCGGGAAGATATTTGTATTGCTGATAACGAAAATCACATTTAAAAACATTTATTTGTCGGACTGTCCGCAAGCCGCGACTGTTCCGGGTAATCTCCGAAACGGCTGGGCC